ATTCTCTCTCGAGCGCAACAACAGATGTCAGAATAACATTCCCCACTGTCTTTCTTGCCACCATAAATTGTGTATTGACCGAACTTGCATTTGCAGGAAGACCGGTCAATACAAGGTTCACAGTTGAAATAGTTGTACACAAACCTGTTGAGTACGAGTGTGAGTAAAAACATAAAAAAAAGTGAAGTTAAAATGAAATTAACTGAACTGGCTGAAGAATTGGTTGGATGTCGCCTTCTGAGGTTATGAAGAACGGCTGTCCAGAGTAGTGAAGTAGTGCTCTGAGAATTTGTGTAATTCGTGGAATTGGGCTCTCACGATATGGAAGTAGTATCCAAGGACGTTTCATGAAGAACTTCAAGAGGGCTTCTTTCTTCACATCCTTAATATCATCGAATGCAGTGCCTTCTGGAACTTGAATTGCAACACCTGTTTCAATTTCCAACTTTAAGACACTATTCTTGGACAACCAGAAGCCAATGGACTTGCTTGGTTTGCACTTGCTGAGATATTCCTTCACGGTTTCATTTACCTCAATTAGATAAATTGCTTCGTCTAAGGGGTCAAGCTCCATACTGAGTCAGTACAATATTGTACTTTTTCAAGACAATGTTGTACTTTTTCAAGACAATGTTGTACTTTTTCAAGACAATATTGTACTTTTTCAGAACAATGTTGTACTTTTTCAGAACAATGTTGTATAAATTCAGTACAATGTCTCTCAAATTTGAGTACAGCTGTACTTTTTCAGAACAAGTCTTGAACTTTTTCAGAACAATGTTGTACTTTTTCAAGACAATGTTGTACTTTTTCAAGACAATGTTGTACTTTTTCAAGACAATGTTGTACTTTTTCAAGACAATGTTGTACTTTTTCAAGACAATGTTGTACTTTTTCAAGACAATATTATATTGTTTCAGAACAAAGACGGTTAAGACACAAACGAATGTCCGACGTCCCACCTACTGAACCCGTTCCACAGCCAGAGGAACAGCATGCTCCAGCACCACAACAGTCTCCTCAGCAACCTCAGTTCCAACAAGGACCTCCGAATTACTACCAATTTCCACCTCAAGGTTACTACCCACCACAAGGCTTTCCAAACTACCCACCACAAGGCTTTCCAAACTACCCTCCTCAACCCATGCCTTACTTCCCTAACCCTTGGATGTTCATGTCAAACCCTCCACCCCAATTCCAATCTCAATCCCAATCGAAGAGAGACCAAGAGTTCGAAGAAGGTCTGAACCGTTTACGCAAAGAGTATGCCACAGCCCCTATGGAAGATGACAGGCTTTCAGTCTCTTCCCTAAGGTCGACCAATTCGACTCGTACCACAGATTCGGTTCGTGACCGTGAAGACTACCTCAAGCAGTCTGAGAGACTCTTCATCTTACAGCCATTTACAGTTGGAGCTCTCAAGAACATGCGCAATTACGAAGGTCAGACACCAGCTGGAGACCGCAAAACAGACGTACTCGCAAGAGCAGTCCAACTGGTCAAGACAAAGACTGAGATAGTCGACTTCATTCTTGCAGCTTGCCCATACAAGTAAAAAAATAAACAATTACGAGTTAAACTTTTTACTCTTTCTTTTCTGAGTTGTTTAGAGCTGGTTTCTCTTGTAGAAACCTTTCGTACTCTTCCATGGTCATGTAATTGCGAATTTGGTACGCAATTCCAGGTTCGTTGTTTTTGAACCTTACGTATGTAACGCTTCCATCCTCCTCAGGGAAGTAAGCTGCTAACATCTGACCAAGTTTTCTCGGTGACTCGGAGCTCATAAAAATGTCACTTTTTAAACGTTAAGTTTTTAGTCTTATTTTACCCTTTGTTTACCCTTTGTTTGTCAAGGTAGTATTGGAGTGCAATTTCTCCAAATTCTCTGTGTCGGAGTTCTTCAGCATTTTCCAAGGTGTACCTGGAGAACTCAAAGAAGTTGTCAAGAACATACTGCCATGCTGCTCTTCTGAGTTCGTCGGTATTTTGGAAGTGTTGCACCTTCGAGTCTTCGGACATGAAAAAATGACACTTTTTCAGCAAAAATATATTTTAGGTGAAGAGGTGAGATTTCACCTCTTTTTTCACCTGTTTTTTCACCTCATGAATTTTCATGATTTCTTCGTAAATGTTTTGTCAAATTCAACGTAAATGTTTTGTCGAAACTTCATCGTAATGAGCGTAAATCAGACAAAAATATATTTTAGGTGAAGAGGTGAGATTTCACCTCTTTTTTCACCTCTTTTTTCACCTCATGAATTTTCCCGAAATAAAAAATAAAGTTGGTTTTTTTAAAAAAATATTTTTTTATTTTTATTGTAAGAACATGTTAGCAACAACAGCACCAAACTCTTTAGTCATGAACCCAACTTCAATGTTAGTAGAGATGAAAAGCTTCATTCCTTCTTCATATACTTTCGAAACAAAATCCAGAAGATAAAGCAAGAACTTCTCCAAGGAGATTTAGATTGCACTGCAAAGATGAAACAAATGAACAGTATCTTTATGAAATGCAGGATATTATTGACCATCTACCTAAACTTCCTGAAATCCAACAACAAAAGCTTACTATTCCTGAATTCGATGAAATAGAAGTCAAAGCACTGACTCAGTAGAAATAAAGAAGTTCATACGAAAGGTAAATTATGAATTCCTTGGTTTTCATTGCAACCATAAGGTTATGGACAAAGATTGCGATATGGTATATAAGAACATCTCTGACCTTTACAAATCCGAAGAATTTAAGACCTACGACAACTTTGTTTCGTTAGTTGCAAAATGTGTATGGCAGATAAGAGATAAAGATAGAAGAGGTAAGATATGGAATGAACAAATAAGACCCGCAACTTTTGAGTTAAAGAGAGCAATTGACGCCTTAGTTGTTTTAGCAGGTAAGGTTTCAATGTACAATGCTAAAATGAACCCGCAATGTTCAAAATGTAAAGCAGCAATGAGGAAATATAACTACTCCGTCAAAGAGATAGAACGTATGCGAAACGACTATGCTGACTTAAAGAAAGAAGTAGAGAAACCAGCAGAAGATAAAATGAACATGTTAGCATTTCTGAACAAAAACTATCCAACAGCAGAAGATTTCCTTCTATCTGACGTCAAGAAGAAGTATAAAGAAACTTTCGGTATCGTTAAAACATTCGATGTACTGACAGAAGAAATAGAAGCTACGAAATTGTTTAGGATTTCAAATATACATCATACAATTCATGTAAAACGCTTATAAAATAACAGGTGAAAAAACAGGTGAAAAAAGAGGTGAAATCTCACCTCTTCACCTAAAATATATTTTTATTGAATTCAGCAACAAAATTCTGAGTAAAATAATTTTTAGGGCTTGTGTCAAACCGTTGAGTTTTCACAAAATTTAAAAAATAACGTTTACCATGTGAAACGCTTATAAAATAACTGAGGTGAAAAAAGAGGTGAAAAAAGAGGTGAAATCTCACCTCTTCACCTAAAATATATTTTTGCTGAAAAATGACCAAATTTCATGAAATTTCTCTAGACCGACTTTTACAGGGGTAGCCAAAACTCATGAAAATCGTGAAAAATAACAGAGTATTTTGACAACTTCAAACAAGTAGAGTAGATGAACTCTTTATTTTTCAAGCTTGACTTTTTACAATTTGAACTTTGTTTGCGTAGATGTGAATTCTGAAAGAAGTATGAGGGTCTTGTATGACTTTGTACTTCTCCCATAGTTCATGTCTGTCAAACTTACCTGCCATGGACTCTTTCATAAGTTCCATGAAATCGTCTTCGGACAATCCAGGGAAAAGTACAATGTCAGTAAGTATTCTCTTTACATCCTTACTTAAACTCTTTGCTGTCTGTACACAAATGACAACTGAAATGTTAAAGTGTCTGAGCTTCTTAAGAATTCGACACATATCTTGTTCTCTGTTCTTTAACAAAGGATGAGAAGCAAAGTCATCTAAGATAAGAAGACATGAGGGTAAGTCTTCCAATCGTAAGATTGCAATTTCTTCGAAATGTATTCTATCTCTTTCTGTTTGTTTCTGAAGTGTTTCTTCTCTAATATTCTCTGCATTTCCTCATTTGGGTCTTTAAACTTCGAATTGACATACTCATTTATAGCATTGTACTTCAAAACTCTTCTTTGGTACTTCTTTATCCAATCTAACAACTCAGAGTCTTTTATACATACTAACTTAGACTTCTTTATAATATCTTTGAACGAATTTACGGTTTGATCGAATTGACCAGAAGTACTACAAATAACAACTAACTCATAGAATGGGTTCTTCTCATCTAGTTCTTGTTGTTGTGCAGCCATTTTAAGATAAGTGAAAGTCTTACCCGACCCAGGTGGTGCGATTAGACCTGTTATACCATTCTGAGCAAATAAGAACTTGTCATGTATGGGTTTTATCTGAGCATTTTCTAACTTCCTCTTGTTCTTGTTTAAAACATTCTCAAATTTCTTGTCAATGTCAGCAAACTTTTTTTCTAACATATTTTTAGAAAAATTAAAATTTTTATCTTTTAGAAAATGTCTAGCGATTTCGCTATCTATATTCGAGACAAACTTTTTGACAGCAAAACATCTGTCGACCATAAAATCTTACATAGTGTAAACAAGAAAGGTGAATTTGTTCTAAAGTTCTGTTTCTGGGAATATGACAAGAACCATAAAACATTACAAAGAGCAGTCTTAAAATTTGTCAATGACAGACTTGTTGACAGAGATGACGCCGATTGGAAAGATGAAGTCCAACAAAAGTTCTTAGAATGCAAAGAAGACACATGCGCTGTTCTTGAAGATGAAATAGGAAACAGAATAGAAGAGCTATTAAAGGACAAAGAACTTTTACAGAAATATGGTTCAGAGAAATTTGACATAACTCCACCAGAGAAGAAGAAGAAGAGAGAGAAGAAAGAAAAGAAAGTAGAAGAAGAGAAGAAAGAACCAGAGCCAGTTCCAGAGAAAAAGAAATTTGACATGTAAAAATAAAATTTTATTTTTAGAACATTTCTGGGTCAATGTCAATGTTCTCTTCCTCTTTAGGAGTAAACACTGGTTTAGACTCTAAAATCTTTTTACCCAATTTACCTTGAACTTCAACTATCTTAGACTCATAATATTCATAGTCGTCTGCTTTCTTTGGTTCATAAGGTATAACAAGTTTGTATGCTTTGCCTTCTTCGAGTTTTGAGAACTTTCTGTCAAAATTTTCTTTGACTGTCAACATACCTTCAATGTCTAAGTCTTCAAATTTCGCACCATTTTTAGTCACAATAGCAAACTTAACCGGTGCAATGTTCCAAACTTTGTCAAATGTAGACTTTTCAAAATGGTAGAAGTAAACATTCAAATATGCGAATGGGTCTAGTTCTTCTTTGACTTCTGTCATGTACTTGTTTACTGAGATGAATTTCGCATCTTTTCTATCGGATAAAAAAATATTTTTTTTAAATTTACTCATAAAAATTTTTCTTTGTATATACCCGTTCTGAACATCTAAAAGATTTTTGAACATTTGCCAAGAATGTACGTTTAGAAGCTGCCATATAACCATACTCTTGACAATACTGTTTATATGAATCGTACAATGACCTTTCATCTAAACACTCAAAGTCAGTTTCATCTATGAACAGTTCATAAACACTCTTGTTTGCTTCTAACAATGTTTGTCTCTCTTCGGTATGTGGAATTTGTCTTGGATTGAACTTAGAAATATCTAATGTCATGAAATATGAGAACAAGTGGTTGTAAAAGTCAGATGTCAAAGTTTCTGCTAAGTCGTCAAAATATTCTGTATCTTGCATATGAGCTTCTGACGTTCTGACAACTACATATCTTCTGTCAGAACTTTCTAACTTCATCGGAACGGCGTTGTTTGAAACCATGATGAAATTTGCAACATTTTCACAAACTCTTTGGTCTTTATATTTTCTTTCAACAACTCCAACTTTGTCTGTTATAAAGACTCTTCAAAGCATCTGAGTTTAAAACCTTTGTTGTATCTATACTTTGAAGTTCGTTACATACTATAAGTTTCATATTCTCTATTGAAGAGTTAAATTTACCGCAGATGTTTTCTAAGTTTGTCATATTAGGGTTCGAATAGCCCTCTAACAGTTTGCATAAGATATCTGTAAAGAAAGTGTTCTTACCAGTTCCTTGTTTTCCAATTATAATGAGAGCAGTTTCATTTTTAGCACTTGGATGTTGTAAGATGTTTGCAAACCAACATAAGATATACTCATAGACCTCTTTCGTTTCCATTGCATATAATTTCTTTGACATGGTCTAACCAAGCTTCTATAACATTTTCTTTCCATTCTACTTGTTCGTATTTATATCCAGTGAAGATAGAATAGAAGTTTGGAGATGGTGTATAGAACTTTATACCACGAACTGAAAAATCTTCTAACTTTGACAATAAGATATCCCAAGCATCTAACATCTTCATACCAACTTGTACAACTTTTATTTTCTTAAGTTTCTGTCTACATTCTTGTTCTGAAACTATGGTTGCTCTTGGTTTGTTAAAGACAACATCCCATTCTTTCATGACATAACATTCTGGGGCAGAGTCAACATAAATGACTAAACGTTTCAAATTCTCGACTGCTTTGTTATAGTCTCTAAATGGACACATATTTCTGAACGCTTGGAAGTCATAAAAATCTGAAACATCTATTCTGTACATTTTTATAAAAATAAAAAAAAATATTTTTTTATTCTTGACTTTGTTGTTGCATTTGTTCCATTTGTTGCATTTGTTGTTCTTGAGCTATTTGTTGTTGAAGTTGTTCTTGTAATACAATACTTTCACCAGTTGCATCTTCCAATTCGAAACTTTCTGCCGTCATTGACAAATACATAGGACATAAAAGTTTTACAGGAACAAAGTTTGCGTCAACTAAGGTTAAGTTTATGTTTGCTAAAGTGTTTGAGTTTACTAAAGCTGAAAACTCTGCATTCGAATGAACAATAGGCAAACCAGCAGAGAAAGTGTTGTTTATACGCATGAGTATCTTTTGGTCATAGTAGTTTCTGTCGACATTCGAATAACACTTTGAACCTAAGTTTGAAACAATATATAAGATTGGTGTACTTAAAGTCAATGGAACAGACATTCCTTGTATGACACCTTTTCCTGTTATAGGAAACTGTTGGTAGTAAAAACCAGATATAAGTTTTGTATTATAGCTCATATCGTTTATAGTAAACTCAGTCGGACATCCAAACATAATGAAACCTGCTCTAGTTGCAGCACATGTTACATCCGTCCTTAAAGTATTAAATAAGTCAACAAAACCTGTTGGTGGTATATCTGAGTAAGTATCTTCAAAGAAGTATTTTTTACCATTCACAACAACAAAGTCTTCTGGTGTCAAAAGAGCAAAACAGGCTTTAGTCGTCATTGTGTTTAAGGTCAGTTTACAATATCGTCCTTGAGGACTTTGTAAGTTTGTTGTTATAGAATTATATGACTCAGGGTTTTTAGTCGTAATAGTATAAACCACTATGTCTTCTGCCATTTACTTAGCAAGTAAATTTTAATGAAATGTTGTGGTCGTCAAATATTTTTATGACGTCTGGGAAACTATATTTTAAGTTCAACGTTTCACCTCCTTTCATAACGTATATCTTGTCAATGACATTATATGAAACACCACAGCAAGCAATGTCGGGTTCTATTTCTTTGATGTTTATATCGTCTGCCTCTGTCAAAAGTTTCAATAGTTCTTTCAAAATTTCATGAGGTGCAATGACATATGAGTTCACTTTTACAGGGTTGTGTTCAACCAAGTTTAACATTATACCTAAAGCTTGACAAATCTTCTCCTGAGTTTGAAGTTTGTCTTTAAGTTGTTGGTAGTCGTTTCGAATATCTGCAACAGAACTTAACTCTCTGCTAACTTCAGGGTATGTTGGTTGTTCTTTTACAGGAACTATTGTTATACCATCTTCGTCCTCGTATGGTTTCCCCACTTCAACATCTCTTTCTTTGACATTGACAACAACACTTTGACTGTTTGTTTGAGTTGGTGAATTTAACTTCACATCTGCCACCGCCATTAAACCTTTTGAAACACTTACGCTTCTATTTTTCGGAAATGACATTTTACTAAGAATAAAAAGATGGACGTATTTGAGTATCTCTTCGAATTGAAGCAAAACAAAGTTTACACACACAAACAGTACAAATACATTGACAGAGTAGTTCTTTACACAAACAATGGAAAATGTTATAGAATAGCAGTCTTTGCTGAACCAAAATATTTTCATAAAGCAAAGAAAGTTGGTATAACCGAGATGGTGAAAGTTCTTGACGTTGACAAAAATATAAGCAACAAAACTGACCGATATTTCTAAAGGTAAGTTTATAATACAATTTTATGTCAAAACTGGCGTACTGTCAATATTTGACGGAGAGAAGTCAGTTCAAGAACAACTTACTGACCTGCTGCCAAAATCTGCTCGATGGAAGCTGTCGTTATACCAATCTGAGGAGCCCCAGCAGGTTTCATCGAACGAATCTTCAAAAGAGCATCTTCCGTGAAAAGTGCTATTGGTTTTGTAAACTTCTTTGCTTTCAATTCATCTGGACCGTCTCTGTCACCAGTATATTGTATTTGTACAGTACCAACAGTTGAAATACCACCCATAAAGTCTTCTGAGTCAGCAAATGGAATGCCAAGCCAAAAGTTTGAACGGTCTCCATTTGTATATTGAGTTTTTTGAGCTCCTGTATGGGTCCATACTTTCACATATGGCATAATAGAACTTTGCATTTCAGGGTTAATGGTTGTTGTGAAGTTGTTGTTAAAGTTCATAGCATCTAATGTCAAGTTGTATGACCTCATATCTTCAACTGTGGAATATTCTTCTCTTGGATAGTATTTGCCATCTATGTTTATATGGTATTTAATACCAGGGTTGTAGAAGCAAGAATAGTCATTTATAGTTCGTCTGAACAGTACAAACATAGTATCTGCATGTTTCATTGCAGTTGTTAAAGCAATATCTGTTCTTGCACCTGGGTCAGCACTTTGGTTTCCAACTTCACCTGCAAAGTCTTTGACAGATATTTGGTGTATAGGGAACATAAGTGGAACTGCAATATATTTGGCAGCTAAAGCATTTGAAATATCTGGGTCCAACATATAGACTGCAAGTCTGCTTTCTATTCTCTTGCATTCAAACTTTTCGCATGTGAACTTAACTGGGTCCCAAGCAGTTCCAGCAGCATTGAAGTAGTAGTTTACTTCAGTGTTGAGGTTTGAGAAACCAAAGTCTAAGTCAACTTTGTCTTTGCAAAATTCGGCGAATGACGTTTGATTTGCTCCCTTTACGTCTGTAAGAGTGAATGGGTCTTGTGTTGGTGCAATGACTAAGTTATTTTTGCTTGGAGTAAGTTCGATAGAAATTTTTCCTGCCCAGTTTGGCAAGTATCTTAAAAACCTGAAGATGAGGAAAGATGACAAAGGAACTCTAAGTTTCAGTTTTACTTTGGTTACTGCTGCTGCAGTTTGTCCAGAAAGGTTAACATAAACTCCTGGAACGTTAGGGTCAAGTCTTCTTATTTTCTCAATAGTTGCATACTGGTCTGTTTGTTCTCTAGCTTGTGGTTGTACTGAGTTTCTCAAAGCGAACCATTCATAGTTTGCCCATGTTACTGTTTGAACTAAGTCAGAGTTAGAATATATCTTATATCCCATGAAAACTTCTGGAGCATATTGGTATCCGACATAGAAAATTCCATTGCAACCTTTCTTGTCAGACAACTTGGCAGAAGGTTTTATTTCAATGTCTTGTTCCACGTATAAGAAAGAGTTGTCAATAGAAATTATATGAAACCTGTCGCAAGCAATATCTACTGTTGTTGAAGAACCTTCTCCAAACTCACCTACGTTTCCATAAGAAACAGCAGTTGTATATTCGTAAGTTCCAGGAACTATTTCTGACCTTCTAATGGCATTGTCGCATTCGTTATACCATTCGGAAACATTTCCATTCATAGCATCCAAAACTGTTGGCGTTATATTCTGAGCGGCGTACATTTCATATGAGTAAAAATATAGAATAGTTGGATTTATATGTCATAATAGAACCCACGTGGACCAAGCTTTACTTTCTTCCTGACTGAGTTTTTAACTCTTCTTTTTCCTTCATTGCCCTCTGCTTGAAGTTGTTGCATCTTTGCATTATGTTCATCTAGTATGTTGCAAATTTCCCATGTCCTTTTTGCCTTTTGGCTCTGGTCGCCCATCTCAGGTAACCTATATCCTAGAAAGAGTTTGTCATAGTTTGTATTTGAGTCTTCGCGTATTGTTTGCATGACTCTTTCCTGAGTTTCTGGTTCAAGCTCTTCAAACAGTGCTGTCCATATGGAATAAGCTCGTTTCCAAATATATGTTTTTGTAGCCATTCTGGTTTTCTTTCCATGTTACCAACTATATCTTTTGTGAATGGGAAAGCTTCTACCAATCTTTCAGTCTTGCGTCGTTTATTTCTGTAGTTGGTTTTATTTTGTCAAGGAACATGTTTTTCAATACTAACATTTCATTTGGTACTGTCCATTTGAGTTTTCTTAAATATTCATCCCTTCTCAGTTCATTGTCTGCAAAGTAAGTTTTTATGACATTTTGTAAACTTTCGTTTGCAAGGTCATGTACAATAGGTTCTCTTCCTTCTCCCTCCCTAACTTTCTTTCTAAACTCTTCACCAAATATACCATCTCTATGGTTCTGTGTAGTTCTTTGAGATAAATGTTCTAGAACGTCAGGTGTTATATTTCCATCAGCCATGTTCATTTCATACTGGTCCAAAATATCTGCATCTTTCATATCTTTCAATGGCATTAAAGCCGCGCTTAAAATACCAGCTATGTCTCGTTCACCATTGACTTCCATTGCGTCTACAACTTCTTGGAATTGTGTTTAAGTTTATGAACCACCTATCTGGATTAGCTTTATGACCCCATCTCATTGTAGTCCATCGTCTGCAGAAACAAAAGTAGGTTTGTTTCCATCTTGGTTAGGTTCTGAATGAACTTTAAACAATGTTTCATTTCTATATGTTTTCTTGAAATTTAACCTTTTATCTTCACCGAGTTCATCCGAAGATTGAACGTTAAATGCTCGTAAGTAAAAAGGGTTGTTGTATTTGTGTACATTTTCTTTCAGTACTTTCATTCTATGCTGAATATTTTCATCTGGTGCTGGAGTCTTTTGTATGTCGGCAAACATTTTTCGATATTCTTCTACTATGTCAGCCGAATTTTTTTAGACTCTTGGAAATATTCCATATCTCCGCATACTCTTGTTGAGGGTCAAGATTTTTCGGCTGTTCCAAATCTTCATCTAGTTCTGTGAAGTTAGTTTCCAAAGGAAGGACTTGTTCGTTTCCTTCAGCTCTTCTAGCTGTTGTTGCTGAACTATTTCTTCCATGTCTGGTTGTATCTGAACTAGTTCTTCCTGTGGAGTTTCTTGTACCTCATCTGCTGGCATTTCATATATTCCGAGACCGTTTTCAACAATTTCCCTATCTACGTCATCCGCATTCATAAGCTTTTGTTCTTTCGTTCCGTCTCTATTTTTTACGCGTTTCATGACGAAAGTTGAATTGTCATTTAGCTCTGACATCAAATATCTCGGAGTAAATTCATCCATGTCATTTGGATGATATGCTATTAAATCATATCCCTTAGCGAGCTTGTATTTTCCAGGTTTGAGATTATATCCGTTTTGGTGCTGAGCCATAAAGCTAAATAGGTTCGGGTCAGTATTTCCATCCTTGAACTTTCCAATAGCTTCTTTATATCTGTCACTAAAGTCAACAGTATCTGGGAAACCACACTCTTCTTTAAGCATTTTTAAGAATTCTTGGTTTCCTTGTTCTCTACTTCTTTTATGTCCTTGCTCTGTTTGTGGTTGTTGTTGTGCAGGGTTTTGAACTGTTGGTTGTTGTGCAGGGTTTTGAACTGTTGGTTGTTGCGTTGGTTGTTGTGTTGGTTGTTGTGCTGGATTTTGAACTGTTGGTTGTTGTGTTGGTTTTGGTGCATGCCTGTGTCTATGTCCATGTGACGATGTAAATGTTTTAGGTAGTCCTGGTGCAGGTGCTTCTCTTGGAGGGTTTGGTGGTATATAAGTTCCACCAGCTGGCACATATGTTCCATCTGCAGCGTAATGTCCTACCTGACTTTTCGTTCTTAAGAAAGCATTTACTAGGTCTGTTTTGGTCTGTTGTAACTCTTTTTCTTGACTTTTCACAACAGTTGCTCTAACGGCGTCATAGGCACTTTGAACTGCCTGTCTCGTTGCTGCATCTGTTATTTTCGTCATATTTTGTGCTACTTCTTTTAACTCTTTGTCGAAACCTTCAGACTTCAGTTTCTTTCCAGATGAGAAGTCGTTCACTTGTTTCACCTTACTATGAAGAGCTTCGAAAGCGTTCTTAAAGTCAGCATTTGTTAAAGCTTCATTTGAACTGTCTTCATCCGCTTGTATTTTTGTCCTTATTGACCCTATAAGCTGGGCTGCTTTAGCGTTGGCTTGGGCATCTAACCAGTCATTGTTAGCTTTTATATATTCTGCGCTTTTCATTGCCTTTTGCATGGCTGCGTCGTTATTTTTACTTTCTTGTGCTAAGTTTTCATACTGTACGGTTTGGTTTTGCAACTGTAAAAGTTTTTCTGCCTTTACATTTGCTTCAACTTCTTTTTTATACTCATCGCTATCCATATATGTCTTCAGGGCTTTTTGTTTTATCTCTTCATCTTTCAGTATTTTATATTGAGTAGTATGGTTTTTCAAATTTATGACATCTTGTTCCATTTTTGCTACTTCTGCTGCTTTTTCTGACACTTTTTTCGCATATTCCTCTGTACTTAGTTCTTTCAGTTGTTCTTCTTTCTTCTTTTTCTCTACGTTTAACTCATTTAGTTTCTTTGTGTGTCTGTCATATTCTAGTTTCTTTTCGTTTTCACTTATTTGCTTCTGTATGTCTATGTTTGACTTTTTGACATCTGTTATTTGATTTTTGAGTGAACTCAAATTCATTTGACTTTGAGGGTTATATGCTGTTCCGTCTGCAGCTCCACCATAGCCTGCCATTTTCGCTAAAAGTGCCGCTCTTAAACCTCCACTCTGTGCACCAACAACTCGGTTTAAAAGCATAGGATTGCTTGACATTTGTTGCAACATAGTGGGGTCATTCAGCATTTGTTGTTGCAACTGTTGTTGTGGTGTCTTTTACTATGATGTTTCAATGCTCTCTTCCTCTTACGTATATTCTTACGTAGCTTACGTGGCATTTTAAGTGAAGTTAAAAAGCGGTTTTTGACAGATGTTTATATGACACTTTTTCAGCACAAAAAACTACTCGGTCAAAGTGTTTCAGTTTGTAAAATAACCGTCTTATCTCATTCTATATAGGGGAAAGTCTTCTCAAAGTATACTTCCTTGGAACGCCTGTAACTTTTCCTGTAGCGACGATAGACCCTTACTTGTCCAGACAAAGCTGTACTATTTTGAGTGCTCTACAAAAAATCAACGGCGACGACTCTCAAAAACCGTTGTGTAAAAAGTTTTACCGTTGGGACAAAAAAAGTATGTATAGAAAACAAAAAACGTTATAGTTCATTCAATATTGAGATGAACGTTTGCCAACGGAGACCTTTCAATAAAATAAAAAAATAGAGGGGGTTACCGTTGACGAAACGGTTTTTTTAAACTTTTCTATGAGTAGTTCCGAAAAAAACAGTTTATTTTTGTCTAATGGAAGCCAACATTAACAATTCTCAACACGCTAACCAAAGCCAAAGCCCAACAACCTCCAAGAACTGGCACAGCTGTTAGAATAACCGCCAAAAAAGTCTAACAGCGAATTAAGAGAATTCTTCAACAAATTTGCTCTAAATATCTCAAAGACGCCGAAGAAAACACACAACCAGACGCTATAACAATACTCAGTTCTGTGAAGTCTGAACAAAGCAATTGCTAGTTCAATTGAACTTACTAAGACAATTCCAAGTCCAATTGAGCTTAGCGATGTCTTAGTTCAGTATTTTCCAACATTTACTAAGCTCATAATGTTGAGAACTTTATACAAGTTCGTCAAAATCTTCCCGTTACATGCAACGGTCATTCGACAAGAGAATTGCCGAATTCCAAGTCTTTAGTTACGGATATGACCAAGATGAATACACTGACGAGTTCGGAGACAACTGTACAAAATGGTTTGACTGCTATACGACTACACAATTTGAATTCGACTTTCTCGAATTCAACGCAGCAACCCATTTATATCATTGCTCTTACCTTTCCGAACAACAACAAGACCTCGCAGATGGAGATGTTGTTACTGTCGTCAATGGAAACTCCTGAACAATTCGGAAAAAAGAAGTCTCTAATTGCCAAATTTGTTCCAGGACATCAGCTTTTCCAACGCACAGAAGTCTTCTGTATTCCTGGAACTAAGTTCTTTGTCAGAGGCGAACTCAAAGAAAGATATAATGTGTCATTCAATTACACATTATATAATGTCTTCGACCAGAAGAAGACTTCTTCCCAGAAGCAATGGAGGAGGAAGAAGAGGAGGAGAAATACAAACTCAATCCAAGAAGAGTCCTCCGAATTCACCACCAGAAGACTAACAATTTCCGAATAAAAACCTCATTTTTCTAAAACATCTTCGGGGCTAGAAGGGGCGCAGCCCCTGGAAGCCCCAATACCTTTTTTTTTTTTTTTTTTTTTTTTTTTTTTTTTTTTTTTTTTTTTTTTTTTTTTTTTTTTTTTTTTTTTTTTTTTTTTTTTTTTTTTTTTTTTTTTTTTTTTTTTTTTTTTTTTTTTTTTTTTTTTTTTTTTTTTTTTTTTTTTTTAAATAATTTAGGAAATATTATAGCACATATAAAAATTTCAAAGATTCAAACAAAATTGAGAGCACGCTATGATTCAAATTGAGCAACTATGATTCAGCTCAACCACCTATAAAATAAAGAAATTTACAGTCTCAGTATGCTCCAGTTTTAAGGAAACAAATACTTATATTATATATAGGGGAAAAATATTAACTTTATCTTTTGTAACAATGATTGAGAGATAATAACCAAATACATCAACAAATTATTTTCTTGCAATTGATAATAAATATTCTCTTACTGCTCCTTTCGAACAATCAAGTGCTGTTTTTCCTTCATTATTCTTTGCTTCTTTATTAGCTCCAACTGAGATAAGATATTTAACAACTTCAAGTTTACCATAATATGATGCATAAATGAGTGGAGTATCTCCATATTTATCCTTTGCTTCTTTATTAGCTCCAACTGAGATAAGATATTGAACAACTGGAAGATGACCTTCTCTTGATGCCCAGAATAGAGCTGTACCACCATATCTGCTGTTGATTTCTTTGTCACAGCCACATTCAATGAGAGATTTAACAAGTCTCAGATTTCCTTTTGAAGATGCAAAATGAAGTACATTTGTACCATAAAAACCATTTTGTTTTTTCCAAAGTTCTTCTTCACATGCTTTTTGCATCATTTTTTGATTTCCTTTTTCTGAAATTTCATCAAAGAATTTGTAGATTTGATTGAAATCTTCAGAATTTTTAAGTTCCGAAATTTTCGAAAGAAATTCTTTTGGTAAATCGTTTCCTTCTTTCGCTTTGAGTTGAGAGTGAAGAGTTTGCATCTCTTTCTCAACGTTTTCTTTTTCTTTTTGGATCCGAATTAAATCTGCTTGAAGTTTTTCGATTTTATGTGCTGTAATGGATTGATCCTTTTGCAATTGTTCTAAAAAGACAATAATTCCTTCGAAAACTCGCATCTTCATGTACTTTTGAACTGATTTAAGTGTTGAAACGGCATCTTGTAGGTTGTTTATTGAAACATTTGCATTTCGAGTGCAGGCATACAATTCACGTGCTGAAATGACAGAATGGGATTGCGCAAGAAGAGAATTGAACTCGTCAGGTGTTAAATTCGCGAATTTCATGATTGATTCGATATCTTCTACTTCGAATGTGCTAAAGAGATTATCCGCTTCAATATAATCTTTGATATGTGAGCCAATATATTCGTAGTTCAGAACAATTCCCTGACTCATTAAAATTTGTAAAGTGGTAAATTTATGGAATCCACATAATGCTAATTATGAATATTCATTTATTTCCGATTACATTTTTATATGACTTGTCCGCAAAACATTCAATACACTGAGAATAAATTACATGGCATTTGTCGTCAAATGCCATGTAAAACTCTCAAAAGTTGAGCCCCTTATTGCTGGGTGAAATCACCCATGTTACAATGTATATTGACTATAAGAAAGGCTACGATTATCTGAAATTGATGCTTTTCCTACAATCAATTTTGAAGATATTTTATAAATATATTTTTTTTATAACAAAAAAACAAAATAATTTTAAGGATTAAGCGCAGTTAGGATGTCTTTAAGTATCAATAACGATTTCTCTGATAAATCAGCATCATAAAGTGACAAAAGAATGTCAACATCCAAATTTTCTCTTAATAACTCAATTGGCAGCCTGAAAAACAGTATAGAAATAGAAACAAGTATGAATTCAGTCAGATCTTGTCTGTTTTCATCCAAAACATTAATCAAATCGCTGATTATCTTCATTTGATCGAGATTTTCGAAAAATGAAGGATCAGAAACTTGAATTAACCTCGACATCAACGCGCAAGCAGCTTCTTGTATGCTGAACTGTGCATACGACATGAAATCAATGACATTAAAGACTAATCCGTCTTTGATAAAAAAAGTATGAGCGAGAAAAGGAGCTCTTTCAAGGAGATGACTCAAGAAAATCAATATATCCCGACATAAATCGCTTTTAGCAGTCGAAATGTTGACTTGCACGCGTGGAAAAGGAATAAAATTTTCAAAATCAAAGTCATCGGGTAAAACAAACAAAAGAGAGTTAAGAACAGAATATGCAACAGATATATGCATGGCTAATGTGGAAAAAAGTGACGCCAAAACGTTTTTTTGGTGATATTCAGGGTCATTCAAGTATCTTTGGATAATTGGCTGCATATTGAGCTGTATTGCACGGGAAAGTATATAAATAACTCCATCGTTGATGCTTAAATCGATGTCAGTTCCTGTTTTTGACTTGAAAAATGTCCAAAGGTCTTCCATGACGTTTTCGTCGTCTTGCGGCAGTAACTCGAGTATACTGTTGATGTATTTGATGTCTGATGGTATAACTTCTTCTGTATCTTTCGGAATAAAAAATTCAAAAAATTGTAAAAAAAGTTTTGGATGTAATTCAGAGAGTGTTGCGACCAGGTCCTTGCAGGATTTGATGGCGTAGTAGTTTGTTGAGTTCAAAATCTCTAAATACAATTGAATTTTATCTTCTTCAATAAGGAAATGGCTTTTATCGGGGAACTTCGCTGAAAGGAAACTCAGTATCTGTAATGACATCACCTCCTTTTTTTGTGTAATATTCTTTTATAGATAAAATGGCATCTTTAAATTTTTTCTCGAATAATGGGGAATACTGGTGTTTCCCTCAATGCGAGCGCGAGCGAACGCGAACACTTTACGATAGCGAGCGCGAGTGAGCACTTTTTCCCTTATATGGTAAGCATATAAATCTATAGGCATATGCACCATTGCAAAACTATCTTATAAGACATTGGTTTATTTACAAATTTCAGATAAAATGCATTTTTTAATTGAAATTTCATCAAATATATTCAAAATATATTAGTCACTTTTTGAGAGGAGGGACGATGATTAAAAAGTGAGTATATATATTTTAATAGTTGCTTGATACTTTTTCGGGCTTATTTATAAGCCCGTAAAAAGTATCACAACTATTTGCAAACTAATAAGACAAGAAATACTCTTCAAAAAAGAAGTACTGACACATTTGACTAGTAATGAAATTAAAAAAGAAAAAAAAAATTAACTTCCGTCTCATTATCTTTGATAATTTTTCATGCCAAACCAAATTAGAAGCATCAAACTTTAAAAACCGAAATGTCTGGTCTATGCTTTAAATATTATCATAAAATAGAGTAGATTTTTCAACTATTTCGAATACGGCATAATTTCAAAAATACAATTTTGATTCAGCAGTATATAACAAATTGAATTCATTATTGATGTAAGCAAAAACACAAGAGTTTAATGACTATTTATCGATGATTTTATCCTTATTCTATTCAAATAAAAATTTTTCTTTTGATATACACCGAAGGATCAGGCGAGAAATAATGCATCATGATACGATTGCAAACCAAACCATTAATTAAATTTTTTGGTTCACAATAAATTTATTTTAACAATTCGCTACGGCGAACTTTGATTTTCCGAGATGCAATGAATTTTATATCAAATAAATACCAGCAAGTATGCTATCCTTCAAATGCGAGCTTGAAAATACGTGAGTTACAAAATACCCTATATTTCCAACTCTTGGAAAATTTTCATGACCCCTACCCAGGGTCCTAAAATGGGTATTTTCCTCACACAGACACCGTGGTTTTTTGAGCCGGGAAATAAATAGCGCAGACAGTTTCTACATATAGAGACATGCTTATACTTAGAGTTTGACGGGAATCTAAAGTGATTTTTTTCTGCATCGCGAAATCTAATGCAATCTCAAAATCATGAAGAAACTGCGAATCGGAGCGCAATTTTTTAATATGTTAATATATAAAGGTACCCCTACTACTGCAAATGCTTCAAATGAAAATCTAAGAAATCAGATTAATTTGATCACATTAGTATAGTATTGGTCAAACCAAAAACTCATATGTTGATATATAGCCTATGGATATTCATATTATCTACTTTTCATTGAATTACATAAGATTTAATAATCTCATAAATATTCTTTTTAATTTTCCGAATTCCGTGTGCATTTAGATTGCCCATACCTGTATATAATAATTCTAGAATGGTTTGGTTAGATATTAAGTTTTTTAGATTAATATTTTAACATTTTGATAAAACAAGCATTTGTTCCATTTTAGAATCGCCATTGAACTCTGGTTTGACTAACATTATGTTGTATGATCAAATAAATTCTAACTTCATGAGATAAATTTTGAAATTAGAAAATGCGATATCTGACTCAAATATTTATATGAACACATTTAACATTCAATGATAAACTAAAGTACTATACAGCAGATTCGATTTGGCTTATATTTTATATAATCAACTAATAATCCTATAAAATTGTGCTATTCACGTTGCTCAAAGATGTATTGAACATTCACTACTTGTGTATTGATAAAATTAGATATAGATTCTAATGTAAATCGATATTTTGAAAATTCATATATATTTTGTCTTGGTTTGGCATTTGATCGTGTTGAAACCGGAATTGCAATATATATCATCTAAATATATAACTATCAAAATATGATCTATAGATTTTTAAATTATTCTCCTGAATATGAGTGACTAACATAATTATATTGAATTGAGTAGTAAAAATCTTAAATATTAGAATCTGACGATAATTTATTATAACTTTATAAAGGAACAAGACTATAAATGATGATGAAAATAAAGATTAAATTTAAATCGGAAAATTTGAAAACATTAAGTGTATTGTGCACTCTTGTCGGTCACAGTGTCTCATTCCGGGAGATATTGTCATTGCATGTCTCCCAGAATGAGACAATCTTCTGCAATCAGAATGTGATTGCAAAACTTTGAGCGACAAGAGTGTATTGTGCACTCTTGTCGGTCACAGTGTCTCATTCCGGGAGACATTGCCTCTGAATGTCTCCCAGAATGAGACAATCTTCTGCAATCAGAATGTGATTGCAAAACTTTGAGCGACAAGAGTGTGTTATCCACAATATTTGTTTATATACTATGTTTTTTAGATCAAATCCTTTACATACAATTGTTCAAATATAATTTTCTCCATTTAATATTTATTTTATATTTTTTGTGCTTTATATAACTTATGGCGTCTACCGAACTATTTTACAGACTCTTCTGAGCTCTTCCCACATATAAACATGTGACAATAACACATATATACTCCCTTCATATTCTGATCTCATGACATATTACCCCAAAAACTATATTTATACAACACACCTCATAAAGTCTGATTTTACCCCTATCTAAGCGTTCAAAACCTATTTTCCCCGCGTAATCTGATTCTTCTGGCTCTGCTGATTCGATTTCTGCTGTCAGATCGTGAAAATATGCATCACACAATGAGATAAACGCAAATTACCTAACTTAATATTTTCCTTAAAATTGTCAATTCCTCGATCTTGACATATTTATTATTTCCTCCGTTTTCCCTCACAAATATATTTAATTTTCTGAATAAGACGGATAATAAAATGAATATCTTAAAAACTAAAATACAAAATTAATGTTGAGTAATGACTAGATATAGTATGCACTTTTGAATTCATACATTTTTTGAAAAAATTGTATTTTCAAAAAAAGATGTTGTTTCAGTATGAACTTGAAGAGAAATTTTAAGGAAAATATTAAGTTAGGTAATTTGCGTTTATCTCATTGTGTGATGCATATTTTCACGATCTGACAGCAGAAATCGAATCAGCAGAGCCAGAAGAATCAGATTACGCGGGGAAAATAGGTTTTGAACGCTTAGATAGGGGTAAAATCAGACTTTATGAGGTGTGTTGTATAAATATAGTTTTTGGGGTAATATGTCATGAGATCAGAATATGAAGGGAGTATATATGTGTTATTGTCACATGTTTATATGTGGGAAGAGCTCAGAAGAGTCTGTAAAATAGTTCGGTAGACGCCATAAGTTATATAAAGCACAAAAAATATAAAATAAATATTAAATGGAGAAAATTATATTTGAACAATTGTATGTAAAGGATTTGATCTAAAAAACATAGTATATAAACAAATATTGTGGATAACACACTCTTGTCGCTCAAAGTTTTGCAATCACATTCTGATTGCAGAAGATTGTCTCATTCTGGGAGACATTCAGAGGCAATGTCTCCCGGAATGAGACACTGTGACCGACAAGAGTGCACAATACACTCTTGTCGCTCAAAGTTGCATCACATTCTGATTGCAGAAGATTGTCTCATTCTGGGAGACATGCATGACAATGTCTCCCGGAATGAGACACTGTGACCGACAAGAGTGCACAATACACTTAATGTTTTCAAATTTTCCGATTTAAATTTAATCTTTATTTTCATCATCATTTATAGTCTTGTTCCTTTATACAGTTATAATAAATTATCGTCAGATTCTAATATTTAAGATTCTTACTACTCAATTCAATATAATTATGTTAGTCACTCATATTCAGGAGAATAATTTAAAAATCTATAGCTCATATTTTGATAGTTATATATTTAGATGATATATATTGCAATTCCGGTTTCAACACGATCAAATGCCAAACCAAGACAAAATATATATGAATTTTCAAAATATCGATTTACATTAGAATCTATATCTAATTTTATCAATACACAAGTAGTGAATGTTCAATACATCTTTGAGCAACGTGAATAGCACAATTTTATAGGATTATTAGTTGATTATATAAAATATAAGCCAAATCGAATCTGCTGTATAGTACTTTAGTTTATCATTGAATGTTAAATGTGTTCATATAAATATTTGAGTCAGATATCGCATTTTCTAATTTCAAAATTTATCTCATGAAGTTAGAATTTATTTGATCATACAACATCATGTTAGTCAAACAGAGTTCAATGGCGATTCTAAAATGGAACAAATGCTTGTTTTATCAAAATGTTAAAATATTAATCTAAAAAACTTAATATCTAACCAAACCATTCTAGAATTATTATATACAGGTATGGGCAATCTAAATGCACACGGAATTCGGAAAATTAAAAAGAATATTTATGAGATTATTAAATCTTATGTAATTCAATGAAAAGTAGATAATATGAATATCATAGGCTATATATCAACATATGAGTTTTTGGTTTGACCAATACTATACTAATGTGATCAAATTAATCTGATTTCTTAGATTTTCATTTGAAGCATTTGCAGTAGTAGGGGTACCTTTATATATTAACATATTAAAAATTGCGCTCCGATTCGCAGTTTCTTCATGATTTTGAGATTGCATTAGATTTCGCGATGCAGAAAAAAATCACTTTAGATTCCCGTCAAACTCTAAGTATAAGCATGTCTCTATATGTAGAAACTGTCTGCGCTATTTATTTCCCGGCTCAAAAAACCACGGTGTCTGTGTGAGGAAAATACCCATTTTAGGACCCTGGGTAGGGGTCATGAAAATTTTCCAAGAGTTGGAAATATAGGGTATTTTGTAACTCACGTATTTTCAAGCTCGCATTTGAAGGATAGCATACTTGCTGGTATTTATTTGATATAAAATTCATTGCATCTCGGAAAATCAAAGTTCGCCGTAGCGAATTGTTAAAATAAATTTATTGTGAACC